CTTCATCAATATCACTCTCCCCTCGTTCAGAATCCGCATCACCTCCATGTTCGTCGCCTCCGGCTTCTTCAGGTTGACCTTCGTGATCACGATCGAATCTCGGGTCTTCCCCGTCATATTCCTCTTCAGGGGAATACCTGTCATCACCGTGTTCCTCTGGTTCTCCTTCGACGCCTGCAACAGCTGGATTGATATCAGATTCACCATCCTGACCTTTCTGGTTATCTTTCTTCTTTCTCCTCCGTCTCCGTGGTTTCTTGGGCGGAAGTTCCTCTTGTTGTGTCTCCTGACCTGTTGTGACCTCGTCTTCATGCCCCACACCTGACAGTATGCGATGAAGTATCGTGGCCAAGCCGTCTGGTCTTGGTAAACATCTCCCGTCATCATCATTCACCTTGATGCAGGGTATGTTGTCATGCACCGATAGCGGAATCTTGTTCGCGTTCTGGTCGATGAGGTATGGCAATTGATTTGCCGGCCATATGAATGAGTACCCTTGTTCCATGCACCGTTTCCCGATGGAAAAGACTGATGGTGTGCTTTCCAACACGTGTGCCTCGGACCTCATGGGTAGTTCGTCCACATTGATGTCCACCATCTCTGATGTACTAGTTACACCATTCGCTGTCATGAAGCTCACGGATTTGGGTCCTTCCTTGGTGGTAAGGCCCATGGCATTGACTTTCTCTCTTGAGATCAAATCGTGTCCACATCCCGTGTCCATGATGAAGCGTATTGGTGGTCCATCATACCTCTCCACAGCCATGAACATCGTGGTTCCTGGTATCATGTAGTCGACAAAATCCTCCCTTACTACCTCTCTGGTGTTGAAATCAGACAGGTCGACGTTAACCTCGATTCCTTCATCTTGAGTGATTTGTATCCATGCCTTGGCAATGTGTTCAGCATAGAATAGCTCCATCATCTTACCTTTGGCATGTGCTACTCGTGCAGCTATGTTGCTCACTCTGAGGGCTCTCAACGACGAAATGAGCTCGGTATCCACCTTCTGCACCTCATTCCTCTTCTTCCTGAGGGGACGGTTGTTTAGCTCATTACCAGGATCGCAGGTGAACGTGGTCACATTCGCCTGGTCATCGAATCTGACTTTAAAGCGAAGCGCCAGCTTACCTTGTTGTACGTTGGGAAGTGCGGGTTGTACGTCCTCGTCATCACTCTCGATGTCTCCGCAAAGCATGAAGGCTGGCGCAGCCGGTTTGGGCTTGGCTTTGCCTCTAGCCTCTTGTTTTGTAGCAGGAGCAGCGTGATGCTGACGTCGACATTTGTCCCCGAACTTGCATGATCCTTTCTGCCAATTCCAACAGACCTGATCCTTCATTGGCTTAGGGCTACTGCTCCTGCCACCGGGACTCTTTGATCTGTCACCCTTGAGGTTTTCTGGTTTCTTAGCAGAACTCTTGTGCTTCTCTTGGTGACTAAACTTGCATTTGTCTCCTCTAGAACATCCGTTTTTCCCATGGAAGTGGAAAGCGCATCCTATCTTGGACGTATCTGCTGGAGTCGCTGACCTGCCACGATCCCCTTTTGGGCTCTTCGTGGCTGATCTTCCACGATCCTGCTTCTTGTCCTTCTTGTTGTGGTCCTTCGGATTAGCCTGAGGAAGTACTGGAGCGGCGTCATGTTTCGGTGGATCGGTCTTGGTATTCTTGGGTTTCGCTTTAGGGTCCTTCTTCTCCGCCGCTGGTGTGGCTTTCACGATGTTCCCAAAAGCTTTTTCCCTTTCTTTCTTGTTTGTGGTCTCAATTGATTTCCGTATCCACTTCGTCATGATCTCTCGTAACTTCTGGTAGGTCTTATCCGGATCCTTATCCAACATGTTGTCGTACACAGATAAGTCTAACGCCATAACTTTGGAATCCTTAATCTTATCCCAAAGCAGGTTGCGAAGTGCTTTGTCAGGAAGCATGTCATCCGCATCCATACCTGATATGATCTCATCCCACTGTCCAAGGAATCTGGATAGTTGATTATCCCCAGGGAACTTTAGATCGAATAAGTGCTTGGATGCATACATCACATCAACGTTGTCGGCACTTCGGAAACTATCGACGATCAACGCTAACATTTCTCGTCCCTTGACCATTCCAGGAGTTGTGCCTCTCGCACGTCTCTGCATCATCTGCCTCACCTTCAGTTGTACGTCATGAGATCTCTCACCTGCTGCGTGGATGATCGTATGTAGGGTGATACCTAGCTTAGCGTCTATGCTAGCGAACCTTGCTTCACCTGATGTCTCGAGTAGAAATGGGTCATATGGTGATCTGAAGGCATCCGAGAGCCATTGGATCCAATCTTCTTGTTTCTCGTCGCCCGATGCCGTCACGACTGCCGCTACAACCTGGGATTTCCAAACCTCCAGGTCGTGTATCTTGGGCCATGCAGGGATGTTGATCTTCTCGTGTTCCTTCCGAGATATCTTGGAGCCACCTGAGCTAGAGGATGAAGCGGCACCATGTTCGGTTGCGGCTGCATTCTCTGCACTTGTGCGCTCCTCTTCGTACCTCTTCCGGTACTTATTTCTCTCATCTCTGAGCCGTGATGCATGCGCTTCGAATTCCATCATGTCCTGTTGGTTCTGCATCATACCTTCGTAGTACTCAATTGCCTCTTTCTCCTCGGACCTTAATAACTTTTCAGTACGTTCAAGTTCCGCTCTGAGCTTGGTCATCATCTCATTCTCCACACTGGGTTCTGATCCCATGTCTGGTGGTTTCAACTTCAGCGCGACCTTCAATTGTGCTTCACTTGCGCTTGATTCGATCAATTCTTCCTGAAGACGTTTCAGCATCCTCTCTTTACGTAGAATGTCCTCTTCCAACATGTTCACCTTGGCTTCGGCCTTTTTGAGTTCGGCGCTAGATGGTTGAAACGGTCGATCGGATCCTTGAATCCTCGTCTGAGTCAACTCCTCGTTCGCCTTCTTCAATTGCTCTCTGATGCTCAAGATGAACTTATCCTGAGTATTAGATCGGTTGTTGAGCTCCTCATTCTCTTCTGATAACCATTTGATCTTGTTTGCATACATTGCTTCCCTCATCTTCATCTCTTCAGCATATTCGTGTTTGTTTCTGGCACTCTGCCTTTGTAGTCCAACTAACTCCTGTCTACACAGATCCTTGACGTTCTCAGCATCTGCGATTGTAGTCATGATCTCGGTTACAGCTCGATCTCTTTCCGCCGATATAGCCTGGATCTCTTCCGTGCCGATGTTCACAACTTGACTAACCATCTCTGCGCTGTTGCGATCAGCGTACTCCCCTAACTGGGTGAGACGATCCCGCATTGCCACACGATCAGTGTCCATCTGGTATTGCAGGTCGTGTGCTGCTGAGAGCAAACAGTCTCTGGATTCTGTAAGTTGGGAGATTCTTCGTTGATTTCCATATCCTTCGACATAACATTCCTCGAGGTGTGCCATCACTACTTCGTGGACTTCGGTCTCGTGTTGTATAATCTGGTTCTGTCTCTGCTCACATTCGACCATCCATGCGTTTTGGTGGTTCAACATATGCACTTCGGCAAGTAGTTGCGCACACTTCGCATTCAGGTCTCCATCGGCCCGTGCTAGTTGTAGGTTGTCAGTGCTTGCCCTTGCTCGATCTCCAGCTTCGCTGTCCGACGGCACTGGTACAGCTGACCCATCCTGCAATGCTAACACTCTCACAGCTCCGGTGTCAGTCCTCCTCCTTGTCTCCCTAGGGCTACGGCCTGATCTCGGTGTCCCCCATGGTGGTGTCGAGTGCGCTGACGGGGAACGACTTCGTGCTCTACCTGTCGCATCTTCTCTCACCGCTGTCAGAGTCTCCACTTCGATCGTACCTGGACTAGAGTTGTGGGATGTACTCATCCGATCTGCGGCCGCAGCAGCTGCTCCAAAAGATGCAGTGCTGGCGTCGGATTGGTCCATCTTCAGCGACTGAGGGTAACTGATCTATCCGATGCGTGTGCGTTTAGATGGTGTGGTGTAAGGCCGCAGCTCGTACCCAGCTCAAAGGAGTCTGGATACGGCTGATAACCTGCGAACGGATGGAAAGGTGTGCCCTGGCCCCGTTCTAGCTCTTAGGTCAACATGAAGCTCGCGCGCTAAAGCTCCTTTTTACCTGGTTGGGCACTTGAGCCAAAATGTATATGGCATGTACCTGTATAGCGACTATACTGGGACCCGATCCCTATTGACATATATATATATATATACCAATGACAAGAAAAGTCTTGAGATGTCTGTCTTCATCAGCAGGTAGCCTCTTGATTTCTGACATCCTGTAAATCCTGCGACCGGACATACCGTTCTTTCCAAGCGTCTTCGGTCGCCGAAAGAAGTCGACAGACCTTTAAACTTGGGAACTTCAGGAACACATCTGGGACCTACCAGCATCCTCCAACTTCTCCAACTTCCAATAGGTCACACATTTCAGACCTGTTTAAGGCTCAACAACCCTGGTTCTCGAGGAGACCTGAGAAGTCATGTGCGATAAAATGGATTACAATGGATCCATTGGCAAAAACCCACGAATTAGGCAAAGCTCATCGAATGCCAAGCTGGAGAAGCGGCGAAATTAAACTTGAAGCCACTCGGCTTAAGCTTGTGACGACTGGTGGTCCGCAGTGACTGGAGGGTCGCCCCCAGTTGAGCAGGAGGCCCCCCGCCAGAGAAAAGCCGCGTATTCGGGCGCCAGTTCGCCAAGCCACTTCTAGATACTTCTAGCCGGGAATGATGGGAATGACTCAACTGGATCCTCCTTGTTTGAATCCAACCTCCCATTCACTAACACTACCAACATTGAATTGGAACATGGTGAACATTGTCAAAAATGATGGAACATGTCTTTATAAAGTAAAATAACTAAGTACATCTATAAGTACTAGTCCTAGTCTTCTTCCAATCCATGTTCCCCTTCCATCTTCGGAACACCCTTTCACATCCTTTTTGGTCCCATCTTTCTTGCCCAACCAAGGGTGAGACGCGAGACGCGCAGCGCACGGTGTCCAAGGCACAAGGGCTTCCCTGCTCCATGTGCCAACGCTCCGATGACTCCGATCGCCTCGGGAACGGTCGACCGCAGAGGGGTCGAGTGCCGCCGCGACGGAAAGGGACACAGGGGGACACAGCAACCAATGGCGATTGGATGGTCAAAGGATAGTGATGGGAGTCTCTATGGACTTTCTCAACTCGAAGTGACTCGTGCTGGCATGGAAGAACACGTGTCGCTGCCGGCAGCGGCGAGAGAATGGGCAGGAAGCCGAATTGGTCGCAGCAGCACCAGGACTTTAACATCGGGTCGGATTGACACCGTGACACCAAATAGTATAGTGGTAAGAACACCCAAAAGGAACATGTGGGCATCGAACGCCGCTGTAGAACTTGGCGCAAAGAGTCTACAATCAAACCGCGGGTGGTCAGCCATGCGTGCATCTTGAGGTCTCGACATGATCTTGAGGTCTCGACATTCGGGAAAGCTTTCTTGATGTGTTCTATCCTATCATATCCTATCTATAATGACTAGCATCTGACCTCCCTAACTCTGATCGTTGGACACAGAGGCTTTGCCACCTTGTGGGTTACACAAAAAAAACTCAAAAAAGAACCCGAGAACCCCTCACATAGTTAGTTACTTTCATCAAATTAAGAAGACCCGTTGTTCGTGTTGTTACCGTCTCCGTGGGTTCGTTCGTTCTTCACTCCACGTCTCTCCGCCGCCCTCCTTCGTCCCAAAAAAAGGATCGTTGGCGACACCGTTTCTCCGTACAGCGGCCAGCACCAGCTTCTCCGTGCAGGTGGAAAGCCTAAAACCCCCACGCAGCGACTCGCAGGCTCGGGACGCAAGCCGGTCTGAAGATCTGTATTTTTCTTCTTTTGTAGGCTACTGGCTAGCCCAGTAGCTTCTGAAGTGCAAAACAACGTTTTTTGTTCGTATTTTTTGGGGGGGAGGGAGGGGAAGCTGCTGCTCAATATTCCGGTGCATGTCTTCTACCAAAAGAACAGTGACCCATTTCTCATTTGCGTGGAAGTCTCTTCGAACTCATGTAGACCTTCAATATCACCCGTCCCGATCTAGGGACCGTAGGAGGGACCACCAGCAAAATATTTTTTTTATTATTTTGAGGTGGGGGGACGTAGTCGAAAAAAATTATTCCTAGACGTGTCAGACGGTAGCTTGGAACTTTTTGGCTCCAGAACAGTTTTGGTTACGAGCGTGTCCATGTGCTCCAATTAATTTGTGGATCAATCCCGGGGGGGGAACTGAGTCGGACAACCGAGCTGTCGGAAATTCTCACGGAAAGCTTTTTCCGACAGACGGAATCTAACACACACCCCGCAACATCAGTCGCGCGATGTCCAGGCTTCCGAAGAAGAGACAACCAATGGAACACAATCAGGCTTCTGACATCATGGAGCTTGAGTTGCTGAGGAAGAAATATCAAGAAAGATTGAGACAAGCCCAAAAAAGATAACCGATGCTGTAGTGGTTTAGTTTTGTTTTTGCTTTCACATGTATAGAAAGAGGCAGAAGCAACAGGAAGGCGTCGGTACTTGCCACATAATTGGAATATATTGGAGAATTATTTAAAAGGTACCTGACCCCTCCCCCGAGATGACAACGTAACATAAGGGCA